TTTTAAAAAATTGTCTATGGGACAATTTAATATGAAAACAGATGTGCGTTCATACAATTTACAAATATACTCTTTAAAATTTCTAGAACGAATCTCACTCACTCTAAAGAGTGAAATCTTATTTTTAAAAATTGAAAGTTGAGACATTCTTTTTCGAAACTAGCTCAATTTTCACTCTTTAGAATGAGATTCCACTCTAAAGAATTTAAAGAGTATACAAACCACTGATCTTGTATCTGGTTCCAATGTTTGTGTCTTGTGATCCCCTTGGTTAGTGGAAAGCGAAGAAATGGCATACGTTGTTCTCTGAATTCATCAGCTTACCGAGACGTTTGACTTAACGAACTGTGGACATCTCATAAATACAATTGGAACACTTGACAGTAACCCGAGTGATTATGTTCATATAACAGGAAACGCTCGTGTTTTATTAATCAAACGCCTATATTGTAGTTGTTAGGATATTTATATTCTGGCGACATATATAGATTGCAAATTTTATATAAGTACTTGTTCCAAGTTCATTTTTACTTTTTTTTATCCTTTAAACGACATATTGATTGTTTAAATAAAATATCGAAAATAATATATATAATCTAAATAAAAAGAATTTTAAATCTTATATCTAGCTTTTCAAGACGAGTTAGTCTTGGAAAAAAGTTTCAATTTTTAAGAGATTTCACTCTTTATAATAAGATTTATTTTAAAAATTTTAGAGAATATAATATATATTTCTACATTGTATGAATGGATCGATTTTCACTAAATTGTGATCCCATCCAGACAGCACAGAATATTCATGATAAATATTTATTATAATTCATTTTTTGAAATGTTATATAAATATTTTATATAAAGTTTTATTCGAAATATTATTAAAAGATAGACTAAATATTTAATATAGTATTTATAATAAGTATAAATAAATATTTCCGTCAAGTACTTCTTATTTGAATTATAATGTCTCATTAAGTATTTTCACAGCATTTACTACAAAATTTACAATAAATATTTCATAATATTTATAATAAATGTTTATGATTTATAATAAATATTTATGCAATCTAAGACAAAAATATTTACAATGTAAATTTTAAAATAAGATCCCAGTAAAAAATTTTCCATGCATAAATATGTATAAATATGTAT